AGTGCTAGCTGTATGCTATATAACGAAGTGATTTGTAGCTAATATAAATTTTTTTAGGCACTTATTTAACCGGTTTATAAGTTTATTAATATTATCATATTTATTTAATCTTTGAAAATACAAGACATTAAATTTAACTAAAAACTTGAAGCCGTCATTGACTTAAAAAATTATTTAACCTACAAAAAAAAACACGTGTGAAAAATATTATGAGCATGTTGTTTTATAATATTTTATATTTATTAACTAATTTAACAACTGTTGTAAAAAAAACTAATTTAACAATTAATTTTACCAAAAACTTTTATTCAATAAGTTGACTTAATAACTTTTAGTTAATAATTTAAATCTAAAATCCTGAGTTTTGAAAATCGGCTCAAACCGGCCAGTCGAATTGATTGAATTGGAAGTCGATGGTTAGTCGATCCGCACCTTGAGTTAGATCAGTTATGTATTCAACTCATTTCAAATCGGAATGAACTGGTCAATTTTTCGATTCGACTAATGAACTGGTAGGTCTAATCAGTTCAACCACAAAAATATTTTTTGTCACTTTTAAAAAGAGATTCAAAGGAAAACACAACATGAGAATTGAATCCTACTTATCAAAGAGTAAAGAATTTTATCAAACATAATAATGACCATTTATTCTAATGTATTTGTTTAACTTAAATAACTTTTATAGTATATTATTAATTTTAAATTATATATTTAATAATATAGTATCTATATAGATATTACATATATTATTGAAATTTATAAATATAAAATATATTTAACATGAATATTTTTAAAAAAATTAATAAAAATTAGGTCATGCACTGATCTACCGATTCAACCTTCGATCCACTAATCCAGTACCCTAACCAGTTTCATGATTGGTCTGATTTTTAAAACTGTTAAAATCTATATTTTTTGTTTTCAGGTAGCTAAATTTTTATTTTTTAACTAACTTATACGTAATTTGTGTCAAATAAAACCTCAAGAAAATTATTAATAATGAAATTTATCATTTTTTAACCAAAATACTCTTATTAAGAGTTAAAATTTAATTATCAATTGATTAAGTATTTAGATTACAATCAATAAATATAGAAATTATTGAAAAAAAATAGCGTTTTTAAATTATAAACTTAAATATGTTTTTAGTCCCTCAAATTTAAGACATTTATTTTTGATCCATCAAATTTAAAACTGTTATTTTTAATCATATAATTTTCAAAAATATTATTTTAGTCTTTTAGATCACCAATAACATATCTAAAAGTGACTACTTGAGATGGTTATGTAATATCAACTAAATTTAATGTAATATTTTTATTAACAGAGACACTAATAGATAGATGTTATGTAATAATGTTTGATAAATTTCTTAACAAAATTTGAATATAATAGCTAAAATAAAATTTTTTAAAATTAAAGGGACTAAAAATAATAATTTTAAATTTTAGGGACCTAAAACAAATTTAAGAGAGGGGAAAAAAATATTGAAGCCTTTTCTAAAATAACTAATTTGATACGAAATAATATATCAAATAAAAAAAAATTAGAGAGTTTTGCTTTCTCACCCCGCCTTGGGTAAGAAAAATAAAGAGAAAAAGAAGCTTAAGAAACGCAAAGTGCTTCAGAAAAAGCAGACAGGACACCTCAGGAATCAAGGTGATTTTGTCACAATTCTTTGGATAATTTAATTTGTAACGCAACAAATGAAAAGAGGGATTTCTTTACAAACATTAAGAATTAATAAATTACCATCCACCACTGATACATCACATTATCGCTTTAAAAACATTCAGAAGAATTAATGAATTATCATCCAACACCACGTACAGATGGATTCAAGGACACGTAAATCTAGCTGGCTAGCTAACTAAAAAGCAGCTGAAATTAAAGTGGACATTGACGTGCAAAATGTTCCTTATTATTTTCTGCAGCAAATGAAATTTCTGAACAATTTTCTTCCACGTCATGTCAGGGAAAGAAGAACAACAATAATGCTATGCTGTCCCAATAAAATATTAATCAAAATTACTACAGTTTACCCATCTAAATCGGTGATGAAATTCACATCAATGTATAAACTATAAAGCGTCATCAGGAGAATTTATTTTAAGTACAACAAGAGGATATGAAACTTCAATGGTACAGAAATTCCCTAGTTCTAGATTAGTAGTCATTGTCCCAAGATTTTATACACACATGCCATTTCATTTCATTGTCACAAGAGTCAAAATAGTTTGACATAAGCTACCCAATACAACAAGTGCTAGCTGTATGCTAGTTCAACAATCGACAGCAAAAACGCAAATGCAAACACCTGAAATGATTTTCAAATCTTTTTTTCCGCGTTGGTGGACAAGTTATTCTTTTCTCATTTCATGTTCATAATAATGTCTAAATGATCCCCTTAATGAGATATATTCTATCGAAAATTAATTAATCACTCAACACTGGACCTCTTAAACATGCACACAACTTTTGGAAGGCACAGCCCCACTCAGAGAAATTAGCGTACAATATTGACAAATAAGAGCAGCACCTTACCTACTAATGGAAAGAGTCATTGACCCCATCACGCTTCGATTATGACAAGGGCACATGGTCCCTTTGTTTCAATAAAACAAACACGTTACCTGTAGCAAGTGTAGAGACACAGGTGCATCTATCTCATCTACCGGAGGATATTCTTTCCAAAACTAAAGGCAGATAAACAAACAAATTAACAAGAGAAGAAGAAAGCAAAGTAAAAAATAAAAATGATGGAAGTCCCTCTTAGTAGAGACAAGTAATAAGTGGGATTCTCTTAGCTATGCATGCTCACCACAAAAAAGATACGTCACATAACACAATCTCTCAAGCTAAGCTACCTTCTTTTTCTCCACCTTTTTCACTTTAATAAACTTTTTGTATATACATTTACATTCCAAAACTCGAGTGGCACGTGCTATGCAACTCAGTCGAGTCCATGACTCGGGTGAATATCTTTGAGAAGGCCCAAAACCTGTTGCATGGTGGGCCTCTTCCCCGGGGACTCGGCCGTACACAAATAAGCGACTCGGAGGCTCTCCACCATCTCACTCTCCGAGTCACCGCCGCCGAGGGTGAGCCTCTCATCCAACGCCCTCACCCCGTGCCCCTCCCTCACCACCTTCCTCACCCAAACCACCGTCTCCGCCGTGCCGGCCCTCCCCGTCAGCAGCTCCATCAGCACCACCCCGAAGCAGTAAACGTCCGTCTCCGTGCTGCAGCTGGCGCCACCACTCTCTCGCCCCAGCCTCCGAAACCCGAAGTCCGCGATTCTCGGCTCGAAGTCGTCGCCCAGAAGCACGTTCGACGTGACCAGATGGCCGTGCACGACGGGCCTCGACCCAGCGTGGTGGAGAAACGCCAACCCACGCGCCACCCCGACGGCAATACGGTGGCGTATCGGCCACCCCATCTTCTCCCGTGAAACGCCACCGTTTTGAATAATCTCCCACGTGTCACCACTCCAATCCTCGACGTTAGTCTCCCCCGTTGGTAGCTCATGCAGCCACCTGCCTAAATCCCCGTTTGACATAAACTCGTACAACACCAGCTTCTCCTTCCCTGATAATGTTCAAAATTCAAATCGTAATCATTGCGATTTGGGAGTGCTAGATTTAGGTCAAAATGAAAATGGTTACATAATAGAGTGCAAAAATAATTTAAAACCCGTGAAAGGCATTTAATGAGAGTAGGGTAAGTCAAAGTACACTGATGGCGCAGTTAAAAATCAGAATTTTGGAACGATATGAAAAAATTGGTAAAAATAAATAAAGTTGTTACCTGCAATGCAGTAACCCGAGAGGGGCAAGAGATTGGGGTGTTTGAGTTGAGAAAGGTGAAGGAAGTGAGCGACAGCGTCATGATGATGGACCTCTCTGGCGTTTTCGAGGACCTTGATTGCCACGTGGATGTCTCCGGGTAAGACAGCGCGATAAACGGGCCCACACCTTCCCTCAGCCAGGAGAGAGTCTTTGCCGAAGTGTGACGTGGCAGCGATGAGGTCCACGAAGCTGAGGTTCATCAGCGGCTTCTCCAACATCACCACGGCGGCGGAAGACGGTTCTTTCAGGTCCGCCACCCACGACGTCCCCGACTCTGTTTCAAACGCAAAAGGTCCTGATTTCTCCATCTTCATGCTCACTGGGACCGGCTTCGATATCGCCCACTTGTTCCTCTTCGCCAATTGCCTCTTCCTTCTGCAACACCACACCGCGCACGTGCACAACACGACAACCACTAGTGCCGAGGAACAGGACAAGGCAACAATCATGATTCTGGTTTTCTGTTTTGACTTTTGTTTCACCTCGTGAATGGGGTGGGGCTCTTCGTGTGAACTTGAACTTGAGCTTGAACTTAGCTTTGCTGTTTTGGATGCGTTGTAGTTGAAGTTGTGGCCGGCGTGAATGAACGCGGATTTCCCGAATTTCTTGAACCTGTCTAGCGTAGTGGATGCTTTGAAGTTGTTGCGGGAGATGTTGAGGAACTTGATGGCGTTCAGGGGAGGGAAGTCGGAGGGGAAGCTACCGTTTAAGGTGTTGTTGGATAGGTCCAAGAAGGAGAGTGAGGTGAGGGAAGAAATGGGTTTTACGTTTCCTTTGATGTTGCAGTTGGAGAGGTCGAGGTGGTGTAGATGGGTGAGGTTTTGGAAGCCGGAAGGCATGGTTCCGAGGTTGTTGTGCGAAAGGTCGAGGCTTTTAAGGTTTGAGAAAGCGGAGAGGTGAAGCTGGTTGGTGAACCTGTTGTGGGAGAGGTTTAGCGTTTGCAGTGATGAAAAGAAACCGTTTTGAGAAGTGGGGTTGATGCTCCCTCCCAACCTGTTGTTGGAAAGGTTCACTGTTACTAAGGTTGAGCTTGTCCAAAACCAGTTTGGAACCTGGCCTTGAAGAAAATTCCCAGACAGATCCAGAACCTGTAACATGGACATGTTCCTCAGATACTTCCACGAGATGCTTCCACTTAGGTTTTTGGATGAGAGATTTATCCCCTCAATCTCAGCATTATTAGAACACTTAAAAATGGAACCTTTGGAAGCGTTGAATCCAGACACGGATTGGAAGGCCTTTGACACAAGCCCCTGGTCTTCGTTTTTGCATGAAGATTCAACGAGAACAAGCAGCGAGAGGAGAATCAAGAAGAATGTGCGAAAGGGCTTCATTTTCTTAGCTCCACCGTCTCAATCTCGTGTCTATTATACCCCGACGACGATGATGCCTCCTTCGTATGAAAGAAAGACAAAAAAAAAAGGAAAAAAAGTGAAAAAGGGGCTATAGTTGTTGGGTTAGTGGGATAGTTCGAGGTTATAGTAGTGAAGTGGGAAGCAACGGCGTCGTGAGTTTTGACGGACCAGTTAACGGCATGTGAGCGTCGTTATGGCTGGTGAAGGAAAAATTTAATGGGTGTTGACTGTTGAACATTATGAACTCAAAATCTCACAGGTTTAATGGGAGTTGTACAGGTCACTTTTCAAATGTTTATTCTGTGACGTTATTGCCCACGGTAAATTTGTGAAATTTACGGTGGCCAATGCAATGCTAAGGAAACTAACGACTGTGTTTGTATATTATATGGGGGGCATGAGGCGGGAACAATGACTCTGTTAGAATAGAATATCTATAAACACAATATATATCATAGTCCTTAATTCAAATAGATTTGAGGGTGACTGAAAGGGATGGGGTCCCAGTTATTTAATTTGGGAATCAGAGGGTTAGAGAGATGAACAGAGGAGATGATGTAATGCTAAAGTTGTTCGACGGGCAAGCAATAAATTATCCAATCCCAGACCGCAATTGACAATATCTTGTGCTTCTACCAACTGTTTCAAATACCATCTATAACAAAATGGTTATTTGACTTGAGTATCAATTTATTTATTTTTGTCTATACCACAAGTTAACAAACATGCACCTAATTAACTTGGGTAAATTTTTAAAAACTTCATGCTTAAATTTCGTTTTCAATTTTCAATGTTCATTTAATTATATTTTACTATATATTTTGAATATAAAATTTCGTGTATTAGTTATGTATCTATCTAATAACCTTTTTTGTGATTGACCATGATCCAAAAATACTTGAAGGGAAATTTGTTATGTTACATACCAGCACACAATAAGAGCTAGTTTAGATGGATAAAGAAGAGAAGGATATGCCGTAGTTTAAGTTGTAAGTTAGTAATTACTAGTTGACATACAAAGTCTAGAGAAGGATTTGAACAGTTTTAACTACTTTCCCATGCATTCATAGAAGAAAAAACTATTTTTGTATGCCTGCTTCTATTTGCATAAAATACTATTCATTCAATTAATTTTGTTTTGTTAGATGTTTACTTGGCTGACTTTTTCCTTTTCTTTTCTTCTGAAAGTTGTTTACTTGGCCATTGCAATGTGTTGCAAATTGACTACTCAGATTTAGCAAAGTTTTCAGGGTGCAGACTTCAAGGGGTGAGCTACAATCCTTTTTTGTCTTAAAAAAAGTTGTTCTGATGGCAGAGTCAGAAGAAATGTAATTCGTTTTCATTCTATTTATGTTTTTCTTACAAAAATTCCTTGTTCAGCAAATACTCAAGATTCAACAAGAGCGAAGTCTTCTGTCCCGAGGGTCATGATGTGGTTGCCTTTCTACTAAGAATTTGACAAAGTGGTCCTTGGATTAGTGATGGGAGAAGAAAATAGAATAATGAATAGAGGACAATTATAGTTTGTTTGCAGCTATATTACAGTCAAGAGTGATTCATTTTCCTTTTGACTAAGCTAGTTTTGCTGGTTTAAACCATGCCTAATCGATTGATTGTCATAGCTATAAGACAAAAACAAATAGGAAACGGTGCAAAATAGGATTGAGCCAAGCACAGTTCGGGACATTCCTATCCATCATCTAATTACTTGTTTGAAGAAAAACAAATCACATGCAAATTAATAAGACCTTGTCTCACTAATGCCCAGTCTCCCGCTCACTTCTCATAGGTCAACAAGGTTGTTTTTTTATGCCTCCCTTGATGGGTAGACATTACCTATATAATTTATTTGCACATGTTATTTGCAGAAACAAATGTGTCCGCAAGTAAGAAAAAAGCAAAAGGCACCCACCCAAATTTAATTCCAAACTTCCCACCCTATCTCCTGAAGGAAAAAATAAATAAAAACAGCAATTTGACCTAAGCTTATTAGATCCATAGGATGAGCAATATTTAGTGACATCTTTTCTACTCAATTTTATGATACACACAAGTTTTCTGTTCAATTAACTGTGATGGTAAATTTTCAACATATAAAATAAAATAGAAAGCAAAACAAAAAGTTATCTTCGACAGAGCGATAGACAAAGACAAAGGTTAAATTAATTTTTTAGGACCACCTTCCAGACGAACTTATCCAAATGTTTAAATTCCTCTCCGTTTAAAATTAAACCCTCCTCAGTTGGAAATTGGAACCACAAAATGACGCAGATTTTAAGAATTCATACCCTCCTCTTCATTTTTATAAATTTTGGAACAAAAAGTTAAAAGGGATTAAAGATGCGTAATACAGAGAATTTTTGACGTAAATAATTTTTTTTTTAAATTACAAAAATAACATCTATTACACTTTATTTACAGAAATAGCACTGATTACTGTTCATGCTCAGAATTTGGTTCTCCAAGAATCGAATTCTGAGTTGTTTTAATTTTTTTTTTTTTTTAGTTTGTGGCCCATTTTGGATGAATGTTGGGAGTGTAACAGATGTTATTTTTGTAATTTTTAAAAAAAAAATTCTATTTACGTAAAAAATTCTAATACAGATTATACATGGAATGAATAGAAATTAGAAAGTATTCCCTATCGCAAAATGACAAATTACATGCCCGTGATCCACCTGTAAAACTAAGACAAACCAAAAGAGGTAAAGCAGTTGAAAAATGCATTGTGGTGGATTTGGAAGTTGGCAAGTAGCTTACTCCACAAATTCCAGATGCTAGTGGTTATCTCACCTCACCTGCTCTAGCATGTGGTTTTTGGCGTTTTCTCTTTTGCCGTTATATGCATATTAATTTTATTTTGTTAACTAATAAAGTGTTAAGTGGAGAGTATCGCCTAATACACAACCATCCAAACCAGAATTCCAAGAGAATGACAGCTCAGACTGAGGATATATATAATATTGAACTAAGAGACTCAGATTTCATTTGGGGTCACTATAAAATAATGAACAGCTTACACTCCTACCTGAAAGCTGCATTCACCACTGAGGGTTTCACTTGTGTTGTATGAATGTGAAAACTATTTTACTTGTGTTTTGCCCCCTCAACTAAAATTTAATTTAGTAAGGTATCATTTCAATTAATATTGATATATTCTTTCACTCATCACTTGAATATTTTGAAGAATTCTGAACTGTTTCATTTGAATTAGATAGATGAGTTTTTTTTTAAATAAAAAAAATAGATTTTTTGCCCCCTCAACTAAAATTTAATTTAGTAAGGTATCATTTCAATTAATATTGATATATTCTTTCACTCATCACTTGAATATTTTGAAGAATTCTGAACTGTTTCATTTGAATTAGATAGATGAGTTTTTTTTTAAATAAAAAAAATAGATTTTTTGCCCCCTCAACTAAAATTTAATTTAGTAAGGTATCATTTCAATTAATATTGATATATTCTTTCACTCATCACTTGAATATTTTGAAGAATTCTGAACTGTTTCATTTGAATTAGATAGATGAGTTTTTTTTTAAATAAAAAAAAAAATAGATTTTCCCATCATGGGGATAAGAAAAGCTCTCGCTAGCCACCCGTATGATATTTTGAGGTAAGATTTTGTAATGAAGTTTTTCCTTTTTTGTTATGAAGTTGTTACAGTGCAGAAAAATAAAAACACATGAAAAAATGTACACCAATTATTTCACACTGCACTAATTTAACAATAAAATCGAAGAAAAACAGGTTGTGAAGTATAACAGCATCCTAACTGTACAACCGCCTTGAAATCCTAACATCTTGATCCATTCAAAAACAGATTAAACTTGAGGTTTTGTGTCTTCTTCATCATCTTCTATCCTTGGAGCCAAATAGAAACGAACATAACCCGTCTCAACAATTTTTTACTCAACCATTACCAGCAACTCATTTGACAGACTAATCGTAACTGTATTAGACAATGGTGTTGCCTTGGTGAAAGAGTTCATGTATCACAGTGCAAACGTCAAGGACACAGGCTCATTTATCTCAATCACAGTAGCTTCCTTAGACTGCAACATTAACCCACAAATACAAATTAGTAAAAATTGGGCGACACTGCTTTATTACATCTAACAAAATACAGAACAAAAATATGTACAGTGAAGTAGTAAGTTAAACCCAACTCATTGGTGACAGAACGAGAACTATTAAGTTAAAAAGCATGTACAAATGTACAGTTTCTCACCATCTCCACAGAAGTATATCCAATATCTCCTTTGGTGGAAAACTTCACCCGCTTTAGCCACCGAAATGACAACTTCACCATACACCACAAACAAACTCCTCAAACTAAGAATCAAAACTAATTACCGGTGTCACCAATGCTACTGAGATTTCAAACTCAGAAGATGACATCTTAACAATAAGAGTGTGTAAAAGATCCAAATTGATCTGAACTGATTCATAACCTATCCAATCCGTATTGAAAAATTCAATCCATTTTAAAAAAAATTTGAACTGACCCACTTTATAAATTTGGTTTAGTTATCCGATCTATTTTTACAAAGTAGATCAATTTGGCTCGATTTGAATTTTTGAAAAAATCAATTCATATATAAGTAAAAAATAGATAACTCCATCGTATCGTACCGATTCAATTTCAAAAAAATCAATTCATATTTTTTTTAAAATTAAACTGATCCATTTTATAAAAACGAATCGATTAATCAATTCACTTTTATAAAATAATTTGGTTTGATTTAGTTTAAATTTTTCAAAAAAACCAATTCATGAACATCCCAACTTAACGATGGCACGATACTCTACCTCTGGAATCCCGAGATGCTCACTATCTATGTTCATCAGCTCCATTTTAAAATAAGAAATAATAACTTGCTTGCGCTGTAAGAAAAAACCCCCCAAAATAACAGTGAAACCAAAATTCTTAAAATGGTAATATTTTCTAAATAATGTGCAAAAACTTCATTAATATTTTTTTTATATCTTTCATTTTTTGTCAAATCATATTAACCATCACATCAACATTTCAATCCTTTTTTTCCTAGTAAAATGTGTTAATAACTCATTTTCTTTATGTAAAATTTCAATAGATTTCATAATTTAAACCCTACTGATAAATGTATCAAACACACATCTTCAATATGTAAAACCAAACGCCAAAACCCTAAAAATTAGGCAATCCAACCAAATAACCTCCATTAAAACCTATAAACATTACTGCTTTTACAAAATCCGTTCTCCTTTGGAAAACCCTAAAATCTCAAAGGCAAGTAGCATTTCTGTCACGGAAAATTAAGAAATATCTTCTTCCAAATAGCAATTGAAAATCAAACATAAGAATAATCAAGACACGAATCATTAAAAAAAAATCGCATAAATCCTAAAATATCAAACTAGGTTAAAAATTCCAAAAACAGAAGAAATCATGAAGAAAGCGGAACTTACAAGGGCTTTCAAACATAAAAGGACGGTATCCCCGCTGCCGTCAACTTTAATAGTGATGATATGATTGTTGTCAGCGCACTTGAGCATCTTTGCCCATGGGGATCGCCACGTGGCTGGAGTCCATGGCCTGAAAGGGGAAGCCGGTGGAGGAATAATCGAAGTTGGCGTTGTTGACGCACGACACGGAGTTCCAACATCGCCAATCAAGAGTGTGGTTGGATCAGGGTTAGAATTTTGCGCAGGTTTGAACTTTGAACTTTGGAAATGAAATTTGAAAAAGGTGCTTTTATAGGAGAAGGCTCTTGAAATTGGCGGGATTAGAGGAAATAATTCATATCCCGCCGCAACATAATACATTTTTTAATCTTTTATATATTTATTTTTAAATACATTTTTTAGAAAAAATTATACTTTTAAAAAACATTTTCTCTAAGATAAAAAAATACATTTTTAAAAACTACAATCCACAATAAAAATAAATTTACTCTTATAAAAAAATAATTTTTTAAAGTATATTTTATTATTTTTAAAAATACCTTTTAGAATATAAAAATGTACTTTTCAGAAGATAATTATTTATCTGTTTGAAAAGGTAATTTTTTAAAATAAATTTTTTAACTTAAAAAAATTAATTTCAGAAAAACAAAAAATATATTTATGAAAAAAACTTTCTAAAATAAAAATATTTTTACTCTTTAAGAAAGTATTTTTTTAAATTTATTTTAAAAATTATAAAAACATAATTTCAAAATAATAATGATAAAAAAATTATTTTTTAATCAATAATTCATTGTAAAATTAATATGTTATACGTTTGAAAATTATATTTTTATAAAATTTACAACCCTGTAATTAATATATATATATA